TTAAGAACCCTGGGATTGTCACTAAATTGAGGCGTGAGGATCTCGACAAATTTATAGTGTCATGTGCAAGGAGAAAACTGTCCACATGAAAGATATTTAAAAAAGGGAGAAGCAAATTTAATACCATAGATAAATTTATACAGTTACTTTTCAAAGCCATAAATAAAATCTGAATTCATATTTAAAACACATAAATAATTTCCTCTCCAAAAAAGAAAAATATATATACAATACAACTTGATTTATCTCAGAAGATTTTAAGATGAAATAATTTCCTATGACATTAACATTTTTTAAACTTATCTAAATACTGTCATGACAGAACAAAATACTGTGGCATTACTCAGCATGTATCATTAACACTTTAAACATTTGAAACATATTTAGGTATGTCATGTTTTGTCATGTTTTTTTAAATATATTTACCTGTGAGCAAATTAAATATGTTAAGTTTAGTATGTAATGCAGGTAAGTATTTTGAAATGCAGTTTCCAACTGATCTTTCACCCAGAGACTCAAATATTATCTGACATGAAATTGTTGGACAGATGAACACAAAGAGAAGCAGAAGGATCCAGAAACATAACATTTTCTAAAATGCCTTCCTGTATAGATTTAAAGTACAAAATAAATTTTATAGAAAAAGATATCCTGAAAAGTTTAATATCTGGTATCTATTTTTTTTTTTTACCTATTCTGAATGGGAATCATAAATAATACTTCCATATATGTGCCAGTAAGTATTAGGAAAAAAAGGTATTATTTCATTCAACCAATTTTGTCCTCCAAAAATACAGTAGAACACTTTACTACCTATTTCACTTGGTGATACTTTTGAATCTTTTAGAGTCAATTTTTAAAAAAAAAACTCATTTGCAATCCATACACTCTCTTTAAAACATAATAACATAGTTTTATATTCCAATTGTGACTGGCCTTCAATTTCAGCTATTTGGATAGCCTAACACTGAATAAATTCAATATGAATTTAAAAAGAGAGTGGAAGTGATAGAATAATGCAGATATATGGAAGTGAAAATCGACCTTGATTTTCAACATAAAATGACTGTTTGCACTTTACTGCTGAAAATCTGCAGCTTTTTACTTGACTCCTTCATGTCACATCCTAGGGAGCAAATTTTGAGTATTGATTGTGATACATTATAAGCTGTTCACCTTGTGATTAGGCTGCAATTTTGATGGCAGCAGTTCACAGACAGTGAAGAAAATAGAACGGACACTTTTGCACTAACAGCAGAAAGTATGAGCATAAAGTAAACAATAACTGCGGGGGTCAAATAAGAATTTATGATAGTAAAATTATTTTTGAAGTAACATCAATAAAAAGATAAATAGGTTGGTACAGAAAAGAGACACATAATGTATGATTAGCTAGACCAAAAAGAAAAAAAAAAAAACGAAAGAAAAAGGGAAGAAGAGAAGCTAAGTGAAGGGTGAGAGACAGAGGAGGGAAGTAGAGAGGGAAGAGGAAGGGGAAACGTTTTAAAGAAAAGGAATTGCATTAGGAGGATTTCTGCCATGTGTATCTTTTGTTATTTATTTGCAAATTCCCCTCAATAACCTGTGTATAATAAAGAATAATACTGTTGAGTGTTTTCTCAAGCCTTAGAACTATAAATGTAGGTGAACTTCTGCATCTTAGAGAAAATGGATCCCAGAATAGATATATTGAATTAGAAGCTATAGGATTTTTTTTAAGCAAATTATAAAAGACTGCCCCTATTTGCATAAATGAGTGTAATCAAAACCAAATATTTGTATCAGAAAACAGTTTTAGAGACACTGGGCAGAAGGAATCAAAGCAAAAATAATTGATCCAAGATTTCATTTTGTCTTCTGGAGCAATCTGAGATTATAAGGGAATTATTTACCTTTATTTTAATCCTTTACTCAATGTAACATGATTTCTCTTCAACAGAATTCACCCTCTACCAGAAAAATGGACCAATCCAAATGGTATGCATATGAGAAAATTTGAGAAATAAGCATGTTTATATTGCAAAGACAAAGCAATTCTGAAGTCCAACAGCTAAAAACCTGGACAGTTCTGCCTAAGAAAAAGTTTCCAATTTCTAATTTTTAAAATGTATGATTGTCTGAAGAATCATGTGACTATCAGATAAATTGGAATACTTGCTTAGCATTAAATTTAGCATTAAGAATCATTTTCTGTAGTCATATAGCCTCATTTGACTATTGCACAAGCTCCCTTAGGGAGGGATCTAAATACTGTCATCCTAAATAGTTTAATTTTGCATCTTAATTTATAAGATACTTTTTCAAATGATATAAAGTCAAACAAATGACTACAGTATTGCAGTTCATTCTATACCATAAATCTCTCTCTCTCACACACACACACACACAGACACATCTTTATTTGTGTATGTGAGAAAATTGAGCTTTTCACAGGATATATATAGTCCTGATAAAATTTGAAAACTTAAATACATAACCAATGCATTTCTGAAAATTAACTATCAATAATTGCCATAAGCAACGTACAGGTGAATCATTACAACATACAAGAATGTTTTATATTCATAATATGAGTGATAACATAAATATATGGTGTCCCAAAAATGTATATACACTTTAACAGCTGATAGCTCAATTTTGAAAATGAAATACATGTTAATAAACACTGCCCTTATAACTATTAAAAGTGTGTGTTTACATTTTTGGATACTCTCTCTATATAAAATATACATATTTATATATAAAGCGTCACATATATAATGAATGAATGTATATGTATAACTCTTTCTATCTAAAATCTATCATTGGCCCAACAACTTGACTACCTCTGATTTTAGAATTTTATACAATGCAAATTGATTTAGACATAAAGATGTCTGAAATATGCATATTCACATTGGCTGACATATCTGAAAGCTCTCTTTTTTGAAAGTATGTTTTTAGTGATTTTTTTTTTAGAGATAAAGAAAGGGAGAGGGCTAGAGAGATAGAAATATCAATGAGAGAGAAACATCAACTGGCTGCCTCCTGAACACCTTCTACTGGGGATCGAGACTGCAACCCGGGCATGTGCCCCGACTAGGGTCCGAACCAGTGACCTCCTGGCCCATGGGTCAATGCTCAGCCACTGAGCCACGCCAGGAGGGCTGCAAGCACTCTCTTTTTAATGTAGATTAAGCAGCTTAATAACTTAATCTTAGAGATGGTAGGTAAGGAATCATGTTGTGCCAAATATATCTTCAAAATAACTGTCACTGAGGAAGTTATGTGTATGTAAGGAAAAATATTTAGGCAATACATCAAATGATCTGCTCTTGAGTTATTGGATTTTAGCAATCTTCCATAAAGGACACCATGTTTAACGCTTACAGTGTGATTTTAACATTATAAAATCACCACATCTTTAGGAATGCATGGCCATTTCAACAACGGGTAATACTCCTTGCATGTTATGACTCAGTGGTGTTCATTGCAAAGTAGGCATGTCCAGAAACCAGTCCATGAAACTTCTTACTTCAGAGTAAATCTACATCTTATTTCTAATCTGTCTCATTCTCAGGCAAGAATTTATCACAAATCAGAAGTTAGGTTTATTTTCCCAGTCTTGGAAACACTAAACCACACCACCCAAAGAGAGATACTTGGCAACTAATTTGTTACCACTTAGGGAAATATTAGAAAACATAAAAGGGATTTCCTCTGCTTAATTTCAAACTTGCTTTCTGCCTCAGGAGCCCACACATTTGTACATCTGAAAACACACATATAGTTCCTATCATTAGAACTTCAGATATGCATCT